TATAACTAACCAATCTGCTTTACACTTTGTATGAAACATACACATTTCAGTAATAATGGCAGACTATATACGTAAGACAAACATGGCGCACCCAAGCACTGCATCAGTTTTCACTTTTCTTTATAAACTTGCATCGGAGCTGCAACAGTTTCTGTTTGTTATGATCTGAGAAAATGGTTGAGGGTCACCTGGGGTCCGTTCTTCGTACGTGGATTACTTAGTTAGCTGGATTTGGATATTGACGATTTGACATGATCCAGGATCGTTTCGTTCTTCGAAGCTGATCTGAGAGTTGTTGTCATGGCAACAGTTCTTCTAGCTCAAACCTGATCGGAAGCAGGTTCAATTCATATAAACAGGATTAGATCGGGTCAGTTCAAGCAAAGATAATAGAGAAAGTACCGAATTATGATATTTTCTTACAGTAGTAGTTATATACACTTGGGAAAAAAGTTTTAAAAAATTAACTATATATATAAAGTTATAGTTATTAATAAAATAAATAAAGTTATATTAACAAAACTTATGCAATCTGCACCCACGAAATGAAAGTACAAAGATAAAATTTATTGATATGAACTTTTTAGATCGCTTTAGTACAATTTGTGTATGATAATAGAAATGCAGAATATGTGACTTTTTAAAAAAAAGAAATAATACATTAATGCAGTCATGAACATGTTAGTAAATATGCCAGTGATTATGCTTCACAAAAGTTGCAGACGCCTTCACCAATATGCTTTTGTAAACATCCAGTTATTCCATACAGCGATTAAAAAAACGGCTACTGTAATGAAGAAAATATTTTCTAAATGTAGAACTAAATACATTGATATGCATTGAAATACATGATAAATACTCTTGACACATGAAAGTGTAAAGCCTGCAGTTCACAACATACGTGGAAGGTTATTGCGTGTCATATTTAACAAACCGTCGACTGCTAGTTTGATGTAATTTTGCTCACATGGATAATTGAATATTAATCAGATGATGTCATTACGCTGCTGTTTCGTCAGCCAATCGTTGCATTGCTGATCATGATTTCGAGGATCGATAGATCTGTCCTTCACAACACACGCAGCGATCTCAGATCAGTTCATCCAGACATTCTAATCTGATTCACGAACTTGTTTGAAGAACCAAATTATCCAGAGATCAGTTATCAAGATTAAAAGATCCAGGATCGGCAAAATCATCTTAGATCATTTAAACGAGGTACGAAGAACGGACCCCTAGTTACAAGAGATACCGGGTGAGCGCGAGCACACGTGCTTTTCCCTTCAAGTCAGAATAACAACACATGCAAAAATGAGTGCCGTAAAGCAGCGAGGAGATTGTGAATAAAAAAGGATATAAGAATGTCACCAGAGTGGCTTTTTGGTTTCTTTTCGTGTGCATCCCAGCCACTAGCTCCTCTTCTGAAAGATTTTTTTAGCGTTGGTGGTAATATAGTTGTTCAACTTCATAATTTTTAATGTTGCAGTATGTATTTGAAAAATGATGGTTCGTTTCTTTACTTGAAAGCTCATATTCGATTATCATAATTTGTTTTGTTGACAGAGTTTGAGGTTTACTGTATCATTATTAACGTTAAAAATATATAACGACACCTTAACGTTTGCTTTGTTTGTTCAGTATTTATGCTTTACTAGTATTGCACACACTTTGTAACATTTTTATTTATCAAATTTAGGAGTCTCTTCAACACTTTGTTTTCTTTATTATGAAGAGATGAAATACTTTGTTTTTAAATATTTTTGTTTTTTGACTATTAAAACTATTTGCTTTTGTAATGTTTGTAAATTAAAATAAAGTGGTTAAATAAAAAAATCCTAATAGTCCTAAATGTATAGTCAAAAAATATTCAGTAATTATCGATATCGAATGAAATGAAACATATTGTGATAATTTTTTTTTGCAATATCGTCCAGACCTAAAGTACTATTACTTGCCAAAAATGTAGTGCAAGTAGAGGATGAGTATGTTTTCTAATAATTACTCAAAAGTAGCCCTTAGTACTTGAGTAGTGATTTAAATTATCATACCCTGCAAATTAAAAACGTAGATTACGTCATGTAATCATCATGTGTTTCAAACTATTCATGGACTAAACAATTTTAAATGTGAGATTAATTCAATGTGAGAATCAATTGCATTAATATGTGCACCTTTATGCATTTACATGCAGAGCGAATCTGTAACCCAAAGGGCAGAAATCTGGCTGTGACAATATGTGAATGCTTATGTACTTTAAATCCTGACTAACAAGCAATGAGTGTCCAGCAGTTGGTGCCACAAACCAAGCTTGTGTAGCACTGATAGATTACATGAAATTGTATATGTATTTAAAAACGTACCATTCTGTAGTGAATTTGATTATATTTTAAGGACATGTCATGATTTCAGTCCTCATGCATTTCAGCAGACATTCTTTGTTTTATAGTCTGACTTAGTGTAAATTAAAACTTAGTCTTTCTGTTGTTGCTCTTAAATGGTTTCGTCTTGTACACCTAATGCTTCTCCTCTAAACATGTATGCTTATAAAGTCTTCCTTTCTTAAAGTTAGTCTTTTTGATGCTATTTTTGTATGTGCAAAAGGGCTGCACAATTGATCTAATTTCTAATCATGATCACTGTTACACAATTACAATTACTGTTACACAACATGCCACAATTACAAACAAATATGATATTATGCCATGCGATTGCAATGGTATAAAGGTAATTAAAACTTCAATTATGTACATTGTTATAACCGTAATTGATAATCGCAATTATGATTTCAATGGAATAATCGACTATTATGATATTTTTTTTGTCATAATCGTGCAGCCCTAATGTGCAATGTGATTGGACTGAAATCACAGGTCTGGTTAATCTACTTGCCAATCACCATAGACTAGATTAAATAAAGTAGTGACCACAGATAGAGGGAAAATAGCACAGATACAGAACAAAAATGTAAAAGAACATGTTTTAAACTAAAGTACAATTGTTGTGGAAATTACAGTAATTTGAGTATTTGTAATTTTCTACTTTACACCATTGGGCTTAATTTCTGATTGCTTGTACAAATTTGGCTGGTGGATGAATAATATGAAGATGAAGATATGTTTGGAGACAATGGATCCAACATTTAGTGTTGTCCTTAGGCATGGGACGATAATCGTTGTCAAGGTTTACCACGGTTTGGAAAAGTCAAGGTTTTAAAACCACTAAAATTTTCTCCTGAATTGTTTCTGCAGTATATGTAAGATTTTTTTTAATGACTATTTTGTTTTTTAGAACAACAGTAGCTCTAGCAGGAAAGATATCCATAGATGCCATTTTAAATTGTAAAGAAATCTTTGTTTTAGAAACTAATGAAGACAGCGGAAATCAATAGCTATGTTTCCATCTAAAATTGTGAAATAACTTTATGGTCAACTGGAATATCGCATAAAAGATGAGCAGCATTTCCATCCACCGGGTCAAAGAGAACAAAATCATCACTTCCTGATTAACTGATGCCAAATATCAACAGTAAAAATAAAATTTGCTGCGTCGGAAGAAGCTGCATGAGTCTTTTCTTCATTTAATAAATGACTTGTGCCTCATAAGACAATCTTGGCATGCAGTGAACGCGTGGTGGCGGTTGAAGGTGCTCAGCTTGCTGCTTTGTCAGTTCACTCACATTGTCATCATCACATGATCTCCTATAATAAAATCACATGACTTTTTTTTTAAATGCGTATATTGGAATTTGTTCCGTAAAAGTGTTTCCATCGTTTATGTTTAAGTTTATGTGCATCTTTTATTATCGAAATAAATAGTTTATCTTATTCATTTTTTAAAATGTATGCACATCTTGGCGTTTCATTTTTTTTTATGTGCTTAAAAATAGGTGGATGGAAACGTAGCTAATGATTCATTTGAATTATTTAACCTGACATGTTCACTGTTCCAAAATATTATAAATGTTTCTAAAATAAAGTATATTGTGCTCAAGGGGGAAAAAGTTTTAGTTTTTTTACCCAGACATTTAAAAAGAATAGATTTTAGAGCAGTAATCCCAATACCGTGAAACTGTGATATTTTTATCCAAGGTTATCATACCAACGGCATCCTATACCGGCCCATGCCTAGATGTCCTAGCAACTAACCAGAACACCCTAACATCATCATAATGTTGTTTTGGGGGGGTGGGAGGGGGGAAATCAAATAAATTTGAGGTTTTTAGAATTGAATCCTTTTTAATAGTTCATTTATTAGTTAAATGTTAGCATGCTACTCATCCCCCACTGTTTGTGCTATGTGATACTTCAATCATGCAGCTAATTGTGCCATTTTCGGCTGCTGGAAAAAAAAAATCATCTTACACAGAGCACCTTAGCAACTGTAAAGCAATGCCATGGCAACTGCCCAGAATACCCTAACATCACTGTGGCGAGTTTTGCACTGGCAAACACTAGGGATGTGCTGCATTTCCCAACAACTTGTTTTAAATTCCTGAATAATTGGCTTGGTAAAATCTTGCTTAAAAAAGCCTTCGAGTTTTTCCTCCCAGAAGTCTGAAAGTGGCCTGTTTAGAAAGCCTTGCTCTTAAGATATTTTTATTTAGAGTAACACTGAAACAAATTTGTCGGCACTTTTTGTTTTTATCACACACCATCTGGTTATGAATTTGAGGAAAAGACGCACTTCCTTAACTTGTAGACACTTTGGTCAACAGATGCTCTGATAGACTCTGAAACTTCACCACAGTTTTCGAATCTCTCAAAACATGCTGCTTTAAATTTAGAGATACGATGCGACTCTCTGTTGAACAGTTCCAGATCAATGCGAGTTCTAAATTGCTCTGCTACAAAGTTGTAATCCATTTTGTACAGCAAGAAGTGTTAAAAAGCATACATAATGTCCTCTTGCATGTACTGTGTGTATCAAACGCTTGCCAGCAGGGTTTCCCTGTGACTAACAAGAGTAAAGAATTGAGTCTTCCTTTCTTCTCTCTCCCGCAGCGGTGCCGTACCCTCCCACAACGCGGCTCACCATGAAAGAGCTGTACGAGGACGGCAAGCCCAAGGTGGAGCTTTTGAAGAGCCACCTGGTGAAAGAGGGCCGCCTGGAGGAGGACGTGGCCCTACGCATCATCAACGATGGAGCCAACATCCTCCGCCACGAGAAGTGCATGCTGGAAGTCGAGGCGCCCATCACAGGTAGGCTGTTCTGATGACTCACTTTGCGGTGACACTTAAAAACCTGTCGTGATTCACAAGCAACGGCTTCATCCAGGATGTGGTTCTCAAAGGAGCTTTTCTCGCAAAGCCTAATGCCACACAATCACAGAAAAGCACAATGCCCACTGGTGTTGATACTCGCCCACACACCTGCTACCTTAGAAGCGAGTTATTTTGTTGATCTACAGGGAGACAATTCACAGAATCTCAGACTCATGAAGATACCCTCAAGGTTCTGCGGTTACTTGATCGGGTGTCTCTATCATTCGTAATCTTTTTGGTTTAGTCTTGACCCCGACATAATCCTCAAGCCAGCAAGATAAGCATGATTATTTTCATACGGAGTTAGTCTTCCACAGCAACCCCTAATGTGGCTGCTCTATAAAGGTCAGAGAAACAGTTGCATCCTAGACTCTCTTTCGTGCACACCCCCACACTTTAATTCCCCAGCGGAGGCCACAGGAAACCCCCAGCACTCGCCATACACTCGAGCAAACACACAAACAGGTGTGTGGATATAAATGGGCACGTCTATCCACATCTAACCCCCCCCTCCTCAACCACTCTTTGCTCTCTCATGTTTTTCATAACATACACACACACACACACACACACACACATGCACATACACCGTGTGTAATGGTTCAGCCAAAAGAGAAAACTGGAAATTATTCGGCACATATGATTGAAATGGTGTTTCCATCTAACCTCTTCTAGAACTTTAAATTATTGAAAGGTAAGAGGAAATACTGTTGGTTTGGCCACATCCTGTTTGTGACCACTATAGATTTGTCTCACCATGCTGTTTTGAGTGGGCCTAGTATTTGTGCACTTTAGCTAGTAGGTTTTAATATTTGTGCACCCACAGGATTTCTGCTTCCATCTCTATTGCAGACATGTATTTGGCCTTTGCAACATTTTTCCAGGTTTTCACTCTGGCCATATCGTTCTAGTGAAGTCACACTTGTTGTTGCTGTACTTCAGGCATTTGTCTTACTGTATTTTGTCTCTGTCGTCAGTGTGCGGAGATGTCCACGGGCAGTTCTTCGACCTGATGAAGCTCTTCGAGGTGGGGGGTTCCCCGCACAACACACGCTATCTATTTTTGGGAGACTACGTGGATCGAGGCTATTTCAGTATTGAGGTGAGTGCTACTCTGCAACGATCCTAATGAGGTATGTAAAATAGGGTTAAGTGGTCAACAGCTGAGTCTCTCTAAAATGTCTGGATAAGCGTATTTTAAGAAAGCTGTATGTTCAATATGTGTTAATCTCTATCAGGATTGTCTGTGGCATGATGTTGATTACTATAGAAAATCATTTAACCTTGCCTCCTAAATTTGGCTGTATATCATGCATTGGTATTTAAGCCTATTTGACAATTATTATGAACAAAGAATAGTTTTTATAGCCTTACTGACTCTAAGAGCATAAAACCTTATTTGTCTGTTAAAATGAGACCAGTGTGATGTTTCACTTTCCTTATAGAATGTAACCCTAATGTAAGAATGTAACTCTAGTGGGGTTTGATTGAAATATGAGTACAACACAGACCAACGGTCTAAACAAACCAAAAACAGTGTGTAATTCCACCAGAAAAAGGACAGAATCCTCATGCATACCTGTCTTCTATTGGCCTTATTTTTCAATTCAGAAGTGTGCACGTTTTTGCTGTTTGTTTTAGAACAGGGGTACCCAAACTCTGTCTTGGAGGGCCAGTGTCCTGCAAAGTTTAGTTCCAACCCCAAACAGACACCTGGGCTAGCTAATCAAGCTCATATCAGGCTTTCTAAAAACATCCTTGCAGGTGTGTTGAGGCAAGTTGGATCCAAAATCTGCAGGACATCTGCCTATGGGAGAAATGACTAGGAATAATAAACACCAGAAAATGTCAAATTACTTGCTCTACAAACAAGTTCTTGCATGACTATACGAAGTAGAATCAAATATCAGTTTGCAGCATAACAAGCTGTTTTTAAAGGGCCATGAAACCCCCTCGTTTCAACAGGGTGTTTTCACACCTCTACTTTGGAAAAAGTCCGAAAAGTGGGCGTGTCCAGCTCTGTTTAGGGGGGAGTGTTGGAGGAAGAAAAGTGGGATGGTGTGGGAGTGTCTATTTGGGCACGCGCGAGTTTCAGAGTCAAAATACACACACACACACACACACACACACACACACATACAGGAGAAAGTGATGGTGTTTAACATACATGGACATCTGTAGTCGAATTATTTGTCAAATTATTAAATGTTGGACTTTAACTGCAGTTTGGCTCTTTCATTCAGGGAATTCATTCATGCCCCTCCCGACAAACGAGATATTTGATTCGAGGGGCTGCTCTAAGCGTGTATTTTTCATGCAATGTTTTATACTACACGGCGAATGAGAGAAAAAAAACCTCCGCATTTCCCGGAAACTTAGATGCACACGGCAGGTAGCGTCAGAAAGCCGCGCGTGTTATTCCGGTCACTAAATGCGGTAAAAACCCTACACGAGGTTAAAGTTTGGTTGTGGTGCTAACGTGTTTACACTCTGTGCAATAGTTTGTTAGATACGAACAAACTGAATAAACAAAGAGCACTGGTCGCTCACTTACCAAATCTGTAGAGACAGGACAATCACCAGCAACTAGAGCCGCGTCTTTATGAAGAGAATACTACAAACGATTCCAGATCTCAGCGTTTGCAGATGAGAACAGCTCTCAGGTAAACAATGTTTCTCCTTAGACACGTAAGTTATTGTTGTCGAGCGTCGCGTACACTGTAATCCACACGTGACTCTGAGCTCTCACAGAGAGAAAATGAAAACGAAACTTAACTGCAGCAAACTATAAAAGCAACACTTCACGCTTGTTTTGCCAACACAACGTGGCGTCTCTGTCCTGAAAACACGGTGATAGTAATGAATATTAATGAAGTTGCACAATAGAGTGCGCTGATTGGTTTAAACCAAGCCTTACTTATGCATTAATGCATCACACTGTAAGACGTAATAAGACTCACTCTGGCACAGACGTCCAGTCTGCACGCTGGAATAAAGGCTATTATGTCATGACCGTGACGCAGCTTCAAAAATTCGTTTCAAACCGGAAGTACGAATTTGCTTGAAATAACGCAAAAACAACCAATTTACACTTTTTAGTGTAATATAGGTGTCTTAATAGTGTTTTTAGCAGTGTGGGACACATATACGACTGTCAACAGCTCAAAAAATGTGTTTTGGTGTTTCGTGACCCTTTAATATCTAAAAATGAATGTAAGTGAATAAGACCGAATGTCTCGAGCCAAAAAGATTGAAATGGCTGCATCCGCTCGTACTCGAAAAATAAGGTGAATAATATGGAGGTAGTACGGTTCAGTAGTCATAAGAAACATCTTGCATCAGATTTTTATTTGAGCATGTGATGATGATATTCCTGGTTCAGGTTTTGATCCTAATAATGACACTTTTGAACACTAAGTGAACAGGACTAACTGTGCAGGGTTAATTAGCAAATAATGGTATTGATCATATCAACATCTATATTGCACACAATGTGGAGAAACTTCAAGCATTCCAGCAGTTTACAGGCACTTCACTATTCAACCAAAAAAGGTTGAATTAATAAAACCTGATTTTTAAAAAATGCAATTTCCCTAAAAAGTTTTGATTGTGTCTGATTTATCAACCGATTCAAGCGTATGCGTATGCTCCGGCTCAGCCTTCACGCAGTCGCTTACCCCTCACCGTGGCTGACGTGCACCTTTCAAAAAAATGTAACATGTTGCGACTACGCATAGCACAAGCTCTGTGATTGGTGGGCTTGGTATCGCTGACAAGTGTGAGTGGGGATGAGAGGCGCGGTAACCCATTGGAGCGAGTGTTTACAAGTGTTGAGTCCTGTGAAGGAGCTCCAAGTTAAAAAGTTTTGTTTTGCGTTTACCTTATGATTATTGTTGTTGCATGTCCACTGGTCCCCACCTCAGAATGAGTGAGTTTTAGCTACTTGTATATTAGGTAGCATTAAAAAAACACACACACCAGCGAAGATACTCGACACAGAGGAACATTATAACATACTGCCAGCTAGCTTTGCGGAAGTGTTATTGCAGAGTGACACAATTGCACAGAGAAGTATAAATGCACAACAACGTGCAAGGAAGGCTGTGGGTCATGCTGATCACTTGACGTAGAGGTATAAAGACATGGTTTAAGACAATCTGAAGAGCCTACCAAGTTCAGTTATGCAAATTTATCTTACCAGAAACTTTTTAATTTTGGCTTTGGAATTTGCCTAAAATCATTGTACTTTCCTGCTTCAGTAAAAATGTATTTCCGTGCATCACTAGCATGCCACAAATGTCATCAATAAAGACAACTCTATTAGAAATTCAGAGGGTTCTTTTTTTTTCAAAAAGAGACTAGTTTTCTGTTTAATTCCCTTTTATAATCTCTTTACAAAGTCTTCAGAAAATTTCAAGGCCATTTCAACACATCTGTGCCAAATGAAGTTACATCTTGTGCTTTGTCAACACTAAATGCATTCACATTTTAAGTGTCTTTGCACTCTGAATATGCCATGTGGCAGTTCTATTCAAGTACCCTCTGTTGTACCATGTATTATGATGATGCAATCAGCATGTCACCCCTGCCTGTAACACCGTGTTGTCATTGTAAAGCAACCACAAAGATGAAGCAAGTGGCATTAAAGGATTTATTGATCCTGCCATCCTGCAGTTCAGAGAATGTGATTCTCAACACTGGGGTTATGTGTACATTTTTTTTTTTTTCTTGTTAGAGAAAACTTCTGGTAAGCTTTATCAGCTGGCGTCTTTTATATTGTTGGGGTTGATGTCTGATGTCATTCTGAATGGGCTGGTGAGTGTGAGTCCTCAAAAAGCTTCCACCTTTGCGTCGCGGTTTGGCTGCAAAGTTCAGGAAAGGGAGAAATGTCATGGTTAAAAGAGGCTGCGTACGAGAGCAGACACACCGCTGCTCAATACCATCAAACACAGCTGAGGGTCCAGGGCCGCCGGCCACCTGAGATGCATGGAAAGAGAAGCATGTGTGTTTCACAACAAAGGCCAGGCTGAGTTCCTACTCCCACCCTGGACATCACAGGCCACAAAGCACTGAACTTCAGTCATCCGCCACACCACCCGCTAACTCCCTCTGACTGGGACGCTGCAGTCATCAAACGCTTCCGTAGGTTATGCCACCAGACTTTGCCCCACCCCAAAACCCAGAGCTGTGTGGAGAACTCTTTATTTTTGCAATTTCTGTCAGTATAAGACTTGATGAAACAGCCACCACTGCTGGGCCTTTTTAAAGATAACTGCGACCTAAAGCAGCATATCCTTCCTGACAGGATGAAGAAAAAAAAGTGTATTCTGCAGAGTCATCTTAAAATCAAATCGACAATTGTTACTGTTTACAGTATTTTTGTCATATATTGCATTTGTTCTAGGTTATCCTTAAATATTTATTTATTTATTTATTTACTTACTTATTTTTGTGTAGTGCCAGGGCAGGTAAACCTGTCACTCATATTAGGTCAGCCAGTAGCAAACCACAACCATGCAACAGTCCAATCAACTCTCAGTTGAGTAGATTAGTGGGCATCCACTAGGCCTGCACGATTCTGGCTAAAATGAGAATCACCATTTTTTTTTTTCTTTTTTTTTTGCTTAAAATCAAGATCACTATTTTGTAGATGTAAAATAAAGCTTAATATAAGGAGGCTATTATTATTGTTAAACAAATGGTAAAACAACAATAATAATATTAGGCATATGTCTACTGTTGGTTAAAATGCTACATTTTGTGTGGACTTGAACAGACTTTAAATTTGTCCTGGTTGTTAATTTACAGTAGTGAGGACATCAGAATAAAACTATTAATTATTGTAAAGTTGAATTATTATGTTTGAGACACATGCTTGTCATTTGTCGTTGACATCAATTTTAGACCCTTTTATTCACTGATAAAATAAAATCTGTCATCTTATTCCCTCTTGCATTCAACATTAGAGCAGTTATACTGACCCAGTAAACATTTATTTTCATGCACAACACTTTGTGTTCGCTATGGAAAAAAAGCATATCAAATGCTTGTGGTAATCATAATGCTAAAATGTGATATTTGGTTTCACTTTCACTGCTTATG